CCCGCCGGCCAAGCCCGCCACCTCCTCGCCGCTGGCGGCCGTGGAGGCCCCGCTCCTCGGCCACCCGCACGCCGACGCCGCCCGCAGCGCCAGCAAGGCGGCGCTGGGCGGCCGCGCCTCCCCCGGCCCCCCGACGCCGGCCAGCAAGCCCAAGCTATGGTCGCTGGCCGAAATCGCCACCTCGGACCTCAAGAGCCAGACCCTGGGCCAAGGCTGCCAGCCTACCCCGCTCTCCTCCGCCACCCCCGCCTCCGCCCCGCACAGCGCTGCCTACTCGCCCTCCTCCCTCCTGGGGAGGCATATTTATTACACCTCACCTTTTTATAGCAATTATACAAACTATGGGAACTTTAACGCTCTGCAGAGCCAGGGAATCCTGAGATACAACTCCGCAGCAGTGGCTTCAAACGAGGGACTAAGTCAGACTGTCCTAAACGCCAGCTCTGTCCACAAGCAGAGCAGTGACTCTTTGAAAACGATCACTAACCAGCTAGAACAACACTACAGGCCCTCTAGTTATGACTCTAAGAAAGGTAGGTGACCCGTTTTTGCCGCTTTCTTCCCCTTTCTCCCTCGCCCTCCTTCCCCCACCCCTACAAGCACTTTACACGCTGTAAATGCCGAGACCTTCCTGGAGAAAGCAGCGAGCGCGCTGTCACCGCCACCGCCGCCCAGGGAAGATGGGCAATGGGATCATCTGGGGGTTAAAAACGGCGTGTCGCCCTCGTATCGATACCTGCCTCTAAGAACCCAGAGAGGAAACGCAGAATGCCACTTTTAGACCAGTCTCACAGGCTGCAGACGCAGCTTTTAGAAGTCATTTTTAAAAAAGGAAAAACTACACGCAAAGATATCCAGGGAGCACTGTTGTCATTGCCTGTATTATTATTTTTTTTTCTCGACAAACTGGTTTTGCTCTCTTTGTTTCCAGTATTCTCCCGGGGGTTTTTTTGCATCTTTGGGTTCAGATAATTGCTGACCTTGGACGTGAAATTACGTGAAGCGTGACATTATTAACTGTAATTTTTTTCTTTCTTTTTTTTTTTTTTCGAAAAAAGTTTTGCACTAATATAATTGTCAGCTATTTCCAATAAAATATTCAAGTTACGGGCAATTATAAAATATTGGGCAGCCCTTTTTTCAATGACCCAGCTAGGAATTGTGCGCGCGTGAGGGTTGGGACCTACAGACACTGTATAATCTGGTTAGCTGGCTGTGTCCTGTGACTAACTGACGGTTATATTTTGACAGATCCCACTGAAGTCTGCACAGTAGGAGTACAACCATACCTATAGAAGTGCAATCACACAGCAATGCAAGTAAGTGAGAACATTTTCTATTACACTGATCATTTGGCATCGGGTCTAAGACACGCTGCACAGTTCTAGACTTGCTTAACGTTAATTTCTTGCTTCATTACTTGAGAGTCTGATTACGAAGTAGGACGCTCTTTCTGCGGGTCTTCTTCATTGTCTTTTTTTTTTTTTTTTTTTTTTTTTTTTAAATAAAGCTCTGCTTACGGCTGCTTTTCCTTTTCGGGTTTATCTTCATTTCAAAGACAGGTTAGATAGTTCCCTCACCTTGCATACTCTTCGCTTGTGTAAGGCAAAGCCGTAAGGACTATTTAAATGTGACGGAAAGAAAGCCTTAGAAAAAATATCTTTGAAGGTATTGTTATTTAAAAACAAAGTGCTTGTGCTCACGTGGCAGTGCTAAAATTGTGCATTCCGAGTGAGGCTTCACGCAGTGACCATGTATTTTAAATGAAAAGGGACAATTACTAGAGATCGACATGCATCTGAAGCAGAGTATGTTATCTGCGAATGGCCTCTTGCCTGGCTATCAGTGGCACCTCCACTACTGAGGCCTTAATAAACAACAACAAAAAAATCGCCTTGCCGATATTTTTCCAACGAATTCTTTTGTTGGAAGAAATTAGACGACTAAGAATTTTGCCTTACTTCCTTTTATGTTCAGTTTAATGGTGTTAGTGTGTATTTGAAGGATTTTTGGATGATCTGGTTTTTTCCTTGGTCCACAGGTAGGTGTCACAATTGCTTTGAAAAAAGTCAGCAAGCCATCATCTCTCCCCGAGCTAATATATATTACAAATCTCTAAATCCGGATCACATCTTGTGCCACTGTATAAAAGAAGACCACAGAGCACTATTAAATCTTCAGACTCTAATTATTAAACCAGAATTTTGTTGGACATATGTGAGTTTGCTGGTATAGTATAGTTTCCCCAATGTACGTGTGACTTTTGAAAACAGATCTGTTTTTCTCAGGATATCTTGAATTGATCACTTCATTGCCACGGTATATATTCGATAGGTGTGATAGGATTTATTGTAAAATTTATTTGTAAAAGATGTATACAGTAGAGATAATAAAGACGTGATTGGAGAACTTGAGTCCTTACAAAGTGGAAACAAATTTGATATTTATTTTTGTAACGATATAAAGCTTCTAGTAATTTATGCAAGTTGTATTGCAATGGAATCTGAACTTTTTGTAAATAAATTTTGCCTGGTTTTTATTTGAAACGTTGATGGTTATACAATCTTTGGTTGTTTAACGAGAATTCTTTACTAATTTATATCTCTAATTGTAAATAAAAACAGACTAGTCTGCAACAATATGGTGTTTTTCGTTCATTTCCCCCAAAATAATAATCTGTTATTTAGAAAATGACAAAAGTTGCAATTTCACTAGTAGAGCTCAGACCATAAAATGAGTAAGCAATTTAAATATGTTGCAAAGATATGCTTTGCATAAATTAATTCCTTCTGGGTTGTTCCGTTATACTTAAGCTTTAAATACACACATGTGTGCAAATACGTTTTTGTATATATACATGCATATGCGTAGAGAGAGTGATGTGAATACATGCATGTTTCTTATAAACTATTTATGTTGGGTGTGAAGTAGCTCTTTATTTGAATTTTAAATCCATCATCTCTAGGAAAAAAAAAAAAGTATAATCAGCAACGGCTTATTTCTAATTTCTTTGTTTCTGCTTCTGGCTAAAATATGCAAAGGAAAAAGATATAAAAAAAAAGATATAAAAGTCCAATTCCTCGTTTGGTTTTTTTTTTTTTTAATGATTTCTCCCCTTTTTCTGTATATCAATAAACTGTATCTTTACAGTCGCATTGGAAATCCACTTTGATTGGGCTCATAAAATCAGCTAACTAATCATTTTAATTTTTAGCAAAATAATGGGAATCCTCATATAATATAATTTCAGAAAAGAAACGAACAATCATTTATTTTTCCCAAAAGATAAATTGAGTGAATATAACTTACGGTTATAAAACAAGAATAATAGCTTCTTAGATTGCCCTTTAATCAATCATACACTTATTTTTCAAGAGGCTCATCTATTTTATTCCATGATTAATAATGTTCCAGCGTGAGAGCATTATTAGATCCCAGCAGGGGAGATCCTGAATGCTTTTAGCTGCTTTGGAATGGTCAGTTGGGGTTCATTATGGTCTGATATTGAACAATTTATAAAATCTTGTCTAAACATCTGCCAGCTCAGATAGGCCGATGTGTCTGAAGATGGGAAATTGCTGGACCAGTTGATATTGACAAACGGATCTCTCTCCAGTGGCTTTTTGTTCAGTGAAAATTAGTGGCCTCTTGCTCAGGTCTTGTTAGAAAGGGCATTTGAAAGTGATCTTAGATACTTCAGGCATCAGCCTTGGGAATGTTAACTGGATAAAGAGCCGTGCTAGTCTGGAGTCAGGAAATATGTTGTGATTATATTAAATGGGGGGAAAGGAAGCTGTTTTTCTTAAATACATATACGCAGTTCCCATGATCCAACTTCCCTCCTTTCTTCTCCCCCCCTCCGCCCCCCCCCCCAATCGTATTTTACCCCTATAAAGATGTCTGACTGATTGAGAAAATGCATGTGGTTTTCAGCTGATATGGCAGAAATTAATATTGTAATTCTGGAAAACTCTGGGATCCATCTAGCTAAATATAAAACACTGAAGATCTTTGCAGCTGGAGGCCTACTCATCTTCTTATGTTGTTTGTAAAATGATGCTTTGCTCCTGTAATATCCCGTTTTTCACTGAGGTAAAATGCAATTGTATCTGTGTTTACTGCGTAGTACAATTAGACAAACAGCTAAGTAGTAATTCGGTTTTTTTCTCTCCAATTTAGCATACGGTGTAGGTGCAAATGTTTGCTATAATCATCCTCGACCGTCCTTGCTGTGCACTTTAGGAAGGAGTTTTTATGTCTGGGGAGACGCCTGAACTTTCTTTTCCCCACTCTTTCTTCTACTGCATCCGCCCCCACCACCCACGTTTTATGTTCCAGGTCTCTGTTGGACACAACGTGTACATTTCAATTGGTAAAAACCAAAAGCTGTGGCAGAGATTAAAAAAGGCTAACGACATTCCTTTGATGTTTATACGCCCAAAGACTTATAAAAGATTTCCATAATTTACCCACCCTTGCTAGTATTTAGACCTGGATTTCTTTCTGGAAAGAAAAGTAGAAAGACTTGGAAAACTCGCTTTCAAATATTCACTATGTATGTAAAACCCAATGGACTTCTCTCATCCTCTGAGAAATTCACGAACGGTTCATGGATGCAGATGGGCGACACCCAAATGATTTGGCAAATCAAGTTATTTTTTAAACAAGAAAGTAATGGGCAAGAACTGCATACTCAACGTCATTTGAGATTTAATAATCAAAATTGAAAGCAGGAGGAAAGCGTAGCTGTACTAGATTGTTGGCACAAACAATGCGATTATTTCAATATAGCAAGAAAGGGGGGGGGGATGAACGATAAAATACATCACTTTGTGTACGATTTATTTCATAACGATGCTAATCAGCCCGCTGGGAGTAAAATCTCACACCCCTTTCTATATTTACTCCCTCTCCCCCACCCCAACCCCCCTCGTTTCGGAGCGGGAAAGACAAACCCTCCCCTCTTCGGGGCCAGAGGTTTCATTAGAGCTGATTTATTGAAATTCAGGCTTTAATCTCAGGTGGGATCCCGGAGGAATTGGCGCTGTCGTCAAATAGGAAGAGGGTCGCTTTCCACTTTGCACTTCCTGGGCTGCTTTTTTCCTCGCTCCCTGCAAATGTCAACATTTGTTCTCAATAAGAGAGTTATTGTTTCAGGAAAGCTGCTCACCAACTGCCTTTGAGAGTGAAAAAAAAAAAAAAAAAAAGCTTCGCCCACCTTTGTTTGGTTGGAAACTGGGGGAAGGGATGGGGACGGAGGTGACACGCAGCCCAGGCCGGCAGTGGACGGAGGGACAGATCTGGGAATTGCTCCCACGCACCAACGCGCGAATGGAGGGGAACGGGCCCGGCTAAAGGCAAAGTTAATACAAAGCGCAATGGGCGCCTGCGCTTCTCTCCCGGCTCCATTTGCATCTCAGCCACCGACCTGCGCAGCCCCTGGAAGAGAGAGGCAGACTGCAGGGGAAAAAAAAAAAAAAGAAAAAAAAGAAAAAAAAAAAGTAACGAAACCACCACCGCCAAAAAGGAGCTCTGGCTTTTCAAATGTCCACGCGCGGAGGAGGTCTCCAGGTTTTTGGGGTAAAGGGTGATTTTTCAGGTGAAGAAAGAAATTGCAAGGTGCATCGTCAAATTTAGCACTACCTGGCGGCACCCGCTTCCGCAACGGGCCATTAATTACCTCCCGACAGGAGGGGCCAGGCAGCCGCGCCGCCGGGACCGGCCCGGGAACGGGCAGCCCGGAGCCGAGCAGGGGTAGCCCAGCCTGGCCCGGCCCGGTCAGCTCCGCTCCGTCGCGGTCCCTTCGTGCCCAGCCTCACGGGAAAAAAAAAAAAAAAAAAAAAAAAAAAAAAGACACAAAAAAACCCACCCCAAAACAACAAAACAAAAAACCTAAACCAAACCAACTCTCGTCACTGGAAGTTTCTGTCTCCGTCATATGTTACATCTCATTTAAAGGCGGTTCAGACTCGCCGCTGAGGAACCGTGGCTGGGATGTAATCAATACCGGGAGGATTTTATTGCTTATTAACTTTTTTGGAAAAGGGGCAAAAAAAATAAAAAAAGGCAGAATTTACATATAGGTCGATTCGTTGCCTTCTGCATTCAGGCATTTCCCTGGTGCTTAGGCAAGCTTCTCACGATCCAGATAGTCGAAGAGAGCCTTTCCATTGTAGGAATTGAATTAATGATGGTAAAAAAAATGCTATTAATAGTAATACTGCACATTAACTTAATATGAAGTTCGCCCCTTTGTTTTTAATCAAGTAGCTAATAACTCAGGTATGTTCTTGGCTTCTAAAGAAATAAAAGAGAGGGAAAAAAAAAAAAAAAGTTAAGAGACAAAGGGATCCACGGTGAGTGTTCAAAGAATCCATGCATCTAATCCCTGATTATTACTCGGCGGCTCTGAAGCGGAGTCTTTATGAAAACTACAGAGGGAAAGCGCGGCCGGCGGGGCACAGGCTGGCAGAGAGGCAGCTCGGAGCTGGAAGCAGGTTCTGGAGGAGCCTTTTACCTGTAAGTGCCCTGGCCGAGGTGAAAGCCGGGCTCCCGCAATCTGGACCCTTGTCTCCTCTTCCCTCCCGCCCCCCCAGCCGTGACTCACGGGGGAATGTCACCATTTCACATCCAATCCTGGCCGAGCCGGCTGCATTTTCCCTGAACACAAGTAAAGGAGGGAGCGACGCGGCTGCTCTGCTTCGGGGGCAGCCCCCGTTAACTTTGCTCCTTTTGGGATTTGGGGGCTTAAAAGACAGGAAAGGATGGGGCATGGGTGGGAGAGGTCAACCCGCCCCGGCCCTCCTCGGAAAGGCAGGGGCTCAGGCCGGCAGACAAAATCACTTCTGCTCCACCCGGGCTTGTGTCATCCGTGACGGGGGATTTCAAAATACTCCTGAATATTTGGGGAAAAACAAAACAAAACAAAACACCACACCACAGTCGTACCGCTCCTCGTACAGCGGCTGTGTGGATACTGTCGGTGCTCGGGCTCTTAAGAATCGCCCAGGAAAAAAAAAAAAATCATAAGTATGTGCATTTTTATAGGGAGATAAATTGACAATTTATTGTGTATAACTTCTGATCAATTATTAATCGTTAGTGTCAACAACAGGGTTATAATTACCTTCAGTTATTTAAAGGAATATTTATTTTTTCTTCTCTCTGATCTGGTAATTAGTTAATGCTCTGGAGTAATGAATTCAAAGCTGATTTGATAATGATTGAGACAGTTTTTTTCCCTCTCTTTTGGCAACCCCCCTCGCGGGGGGGAGGGAGGGGGAGAGAGAGGGAGGTGTCTCCCCCCGTTTGCAGAAGTCCATGTAAAGGCAAATCGCGGCGCGTTTCACTTTTCAGACCATAAATAACGATTCTAGGAGGAAAAGGGCGAAATGACAAACAAATAGAGCGCAGCTGGGATGAATAAGGCCGATCAAAGTTAGCGGGGGCCGACGCTTCCCGCAGCCGCAGCAGATCTGAGTCCCATAAAGGTGCCAGCAATTCTTACCTCTCTCCCCGAGATCAAGGGCGAGGGCGAGCAGGACACTTTAACCCCCTGACATCTTTTTCGGGAGCGAAGGAGAGGGAAAAAAAAAAAATTAAAAAAAAGAGGCGAGAAGGGGAAGGAAG